CCACCCCAACCCCAACCCCAATCCCACCTACCTACCCACTCCACCCTAAATAAAAATATTATTAATAATACTTTCTTCATGTTATAGATAGTTTTTTTTTTTTCATTTCAAAAAAACAAATGAATATTTGATCATATTTTAAGAAGGAATCCTGAAGGAGAAATCATAGCATATCAAAATACAAACAGCATATGAAACATGGCTTTCCATCAAGTTTCAACACAAATTCTAGTTTAGCACCAAATCAATAGTTTAACTAAATCCAGTCTAGCTGATTAAAAGGAAAGTCAAAGCTGCCATTACAGGCAAACAGACAAAGGGAACTAACAGATAGATAATTCAGACACTGCACAACAGAACTGAGAAAAGTAGAGAGAAGTCCATGAAAACCAATCTAAATTCAATCCGCGGGCTCATCAACTTCAGGGGTCTCAAGTTCAGCTGTTTCTTGCTCAGCATCTTGCACCTCCTTCTCCGTCTTCTTTCCTTTCTTGGACTTATAGTACACGCTCATGAATGTTCCAATGGCTCTGTACTTTTTCCTGCAGTGTTCGTATAGGCCGCCATCAAACATCCTCCAGAAGTTCTTCTCTGTCAGCTCGGAGACAGCATATTGTGGCTGAAATCCGTGGTTTTCGATCAACCAATTCTCCAACTGACGGACTGCCTCTGCACCATCATAGACCTCACCCCTCAAAACAGGTCCGGGAGCATAGTAGACACCAACATCGGTGTACATTTGAGCAGATGGTGAGTCACCTTGCCTGCGGTGCAGCTCAAACCCTGGTTCAGGATACACCATGGTTTTCAATGGCAGCCTGTAGAGTCGGTGTGGGCAGAGCCAGATGGGATACACCTAAAAATTGTTAAGAGGAACTTATACAATGAGAAAATATAGCTGAAAGAAACAACAAAATCTAAGACAAAAGGTACACAAAAGTATTTCCTCTTCTAGTTCATTTCTTTTCTGAAATGGAAAACATATGTAAAATTTACCTCCATCTCACGGTGGACCCACTCGAGAGCATCTCCAACCTTGTAAAGAGGAACAAGCAAATCCTGAATGACATGCATGTCATGGTAATAGTTCCTAATGGCCTCGCCTTGAGTAGCTTTAAGTAGAGAAACCTTGGGCGGCATGAGCCATCCTAAAAGATACCTAAACCACCACTGATCGCCAAATGGAAGGATAAGTTTCCCTTCCCAATACAAGCACCTTGTGTGCCTGTGGTAGTATTCCCTAGTTGGAATGTACTCTACAAATTCCCCCCTCTTCAGGGCAGTTTGAGCATGCTGGTAAAACCAGGGTTTGAACCACCAACCGACACTATTGATCACATTGCCCTTCTGCTTGGCCTCTTCTTTCGAAGCATATCTACCGGTCATGCAAACAGCTTCTGTGGGATTGTACACCATGGTTNCGACACTGTTGATCACATTGCCCTTCTGCTTGGCCTCTTCTTTCGAAGCATATCTACCGGTCATGCAAACAGCTTCTGTGGGATTGTACACCATGGTTTCTACAAAATCTGGAACCTTGTCAGGATTATCCTGATCTCCGTCTCTAGGTGCAAAAGAATCTATATAAGCCTGCGCAATCTCTTGCAGATTACCAACTACTGGTTTATAAGTAAGTTTCATGTATTCCTTGATAGGAATGAGCTTGATCTCAGCTGAAACGAGAAGCCCCAATGTCCCTTGAGACCATGGTATAGCATAGAACAGATCAGAATATTCATTGTCCTTTGTAGCTCTAACTACCTGCCCATCCGCTAGAATAATCTCATATGACACAACAGTATCGGAGAACAGTCCATAAATGTGAGAGCTTCCTTCAATCCCGTAGCCGTTGATCAGACCGCCAACAGTTAGATCATCAAGCTCAGCGACAACTGCAAGGGAAAGATTCATAGGGACAGTAACTCTAGATATTTGGCCCATATTGACTAGAGGCTCAACTCTAGCAACCATTCGCTCCTTGTCGATGTCAAGGACGTTTCTAAATGGAGAAAGATCAACTTCAAAATGACGAGCACGTTTGTAGTCCACATTTCTCATTCCAACAGCAACCCAGGGTTTCCTAGCTGTGCAGACAAGACCATCCTTAGATGCATTCCTCTCTTTTAGACGCTTCACAACCTTTTTAACATTATCGTCATGCTCCTTCTGACGCTTCTTGAAAGATTTGCAATCAGACCTAACATCCCCTAAATATATGGAGAAGTAATACAGGAAGGAGAGAGGAAGGACGAAGAAGATAACAATGATCCATCTGAATTGGACAAGATAGTCCACCAAATTCTTCTTCCTCTTGGGACGAAGGGGAACCTCAAGATCCGACATTTTGGAAGAACCGGTGCCAAACAGAGCTGCCACAAGCACGAAAACACGTTATGCGCTATAGACAAGAATGCAAGTCAGCTTATCAAGATAAAGCTATAAAGCTTGACACTAATCTAATAAGACTGGAGAATAAAAGGAAAGCAAATCATCAATCACACCTACCACTATTCCATATTCACGAACCTTGTAATATATCACATCAATCACGATTTTGCATCAGGACTTCTCAATAAACAAGTGATTATGAACATTTGGGAAAAAAGAAAAATATCTGTTAGCCAGAAATGATTAGAAGAAAATTTGAATCGGAAACCCTAAACAAGAGTGTCATATGTGCTCTGTAGACCCAAAACTGTTCTAGGCACACAAAAAGGCAAGCTTCACAGAAATGAACCCTTCAGAATGGCCAAGAAAAGGGAACACTTATCTCACATCCACTTATCCATGATGTAAATGACACAAAAGAAAGAAAACTCAAGGCCACTTCTAGTAAAACAGGAAGATGCATAAGATTGCATAAGCTCATTAATGAATAATGATGTTATGGAAAGTCAAAATATCACTTGAACTAACATCATTAGGCAATAAATGAAATGAAAAGAAGTTCAAGGTAGTTCATAACCTAAGTGGGAGGCCCCACTAATTTAGCTAAAGTAGCAAGAGACGATTTTAATTATACATTCTTTATGGTAACAAAGCCATTGATTGTGCTCTCTTTGTTTCTACTGATTGTGATGGTAAATTCAACTGAGGCAAACATAAGAAACTACAGATCTAATGCGAATGGTATGGTAGAAAGATAAGACATAGGAAATAGAATAAACAACGAAACAATCTACCAGAAGCATCATCTATTAAGATCAGCAGAATATTCTACTAATAGGTCATAATTCTTTTGAGCAAATACTTCCATCCATCTACTTATAATTCTGAGGAGTCTAAAGCCAGTGCAGTATAACTTGAAACAAGACCAAAACCAAATCCTCAAAATGGCATAGCTTATTATTACAGATTACACTAAGTAGAGCTTGACTTTACTCCAGATCTGCACCTTTTATGTGGGAATCCCGCAAGAGGCAATCAAAAAAATAAAATGTGGTGTGGTTTGTGATTAAATTTACCTCAACCGCAGGAGTGGGAACACACCTTGCAAATAAAACAAAAGGTTTAAATCATTGGTCTTAATCATTTAGATCTGAAGACATTATGGTCCAAACTCAACTTGTGGACATGCTTCCCAAATTTCAGATCCACATTTTGCAGGCCATGCATAAAGCAGTTACTATTTCTTTACAAATGAACAACATAACAGAATAAGTACCAAAATCCAGCTTATTTACAAGATTTTAAGCCCTCTCAGTTACAAAATTAAAGCACCTGACACCAAGGAGAATCATTTTACTCTACCCTTCTTCACTTAAATATCAGGCTTAGTTCCCAGGGCTTGAACCTGTGACCTAAGTCACAAGTCCCTCAACCTTCGTCACCTGAACTAAGCCATGGGGACCCTTACACAAATGAGAATCATAAAACAAAGAATGTAGCAAAAACGTAAAGGAAAAGCCAAAGTTATTCTTTTTACACAAAGAACTAAGCAGAGAAAAGCTGCATGTTAAGAAAAGAATTAAGCAGATATTAAAAAGGTAAAGTACGCAAGCAACCAAGCAACAGTCAAGAAACAAATAAGCAGATCTATGCGATACATTATAAAAAAGCAACAGATTCAGCAAAGACTTTTTGCAGATCTACACACAGGAAAAAAGAAAGCCAAAGAACCCTTTTCCCCCCAAGATTTAAACACCCTTAAAAATGACATGCATGTTACACAAAACAAGAGCTTTTCAGCTAAATTTTTAATTTCTACCCTAAAAAACAGAGTCTTTTACTTCAAGATTCAGTCCACATCTCAGCTGTCACAAGAACACTAGAACAAGATTTAATCTTTAGCTAAAAAGGAATGATTTCAGAGAAAAGTTAAAAGTTGAAGAGAGTGGAGTGTAGAGAAAATACCTGACAGGTGGATTAAGCACTGGGAAGAACCCAAATGATGAAATGAAGGATAATGGTAATAAGAGTGTGTGCGCGCTTTAAATAAGAGCCTACCTGTAAGCTAGGGGTATTTTGGGGAAATTATCTCCGACTATCACACCAAAAATATTCAAAATTTTCAACCTTGTTTCTTTTTTATTTTAAATAAATTCTGAGTATTCCTTAACCAACAAAAACTTTTCGTCTTTCAAAGCTTATTCAGACTTTTAAGAAAAGACATTGAATAGTTTTACTAATATGAAAATTTATTTAAATTATATTTTATACTTTTTAAAATAATATTCCCACTAATAACAGCAATGAATAATTCATGGAAAAAGTGATGAATGACTTTTTATTAAATAGTTTAAAATAAATTTAGCTTATCAAAATGAATAACGTTAAAATGGAGATGATAACTCTTTTTTTTCATGATACCACAAAATGTGGTATCCTACCAATTCTTTGATGACATACATGATACATTCAAATATTTGCCAAAACGAGAATCAATTTTTATGGTAACATGACAAACTATACAAGCTAGCGGTAAGTGGTCCCGTCAGTGGTTTAAAAAGGGAAAAGGGCTAGATTTACTGCTTTCGTCCACGTTGAATCTTAGTTATACTTTCCGAACAAATATATCCCTGCGGATACCATATTTGTTATATATATCCCTATCTTTAACAGAAGACTACCATAGCGATCACCATCTATTAAAATTCCTATGTGGCATTATATTTGGATGAGGTGGACGCCACGTGACAGGACACTTCAGCACTTTAAACCTATTTCTCTCTCCTCCCGTACCTTCTCTTCCCCTACCATTTATTCTTCCTTAGAACCTCCACCCAAATCAAGAAGAAAGAAAAGATTTGGTATATAACAGTAGTAGACACCGATAAATTTTATTTATGGGAAAAAGAATAGCAATTAGAGTGAATACCACAAACATAATATGGGGTAATGTAACGATTTGGCCGGTCATTTTGATAGTATTAGCCTGATCCCCTATTTACTGCCTCCCTTATATCATTTTATGCTTATGTGACTTGTCGGGGGATTTGTCTTTGATTTTGGAGTGAAATGGGACACTTAGTCCCTAAAACGAAAGCTTAAGTTCTAGAAATTTGACCGTAGTTGGAACTGTGTGAAAACGACTCCGAAATGGGGTTTCGTCGGTTCTGTTAGCTCCGTTGGGTGATTTTGGACTTAGGTGCGTGTCTGGATTGTCAATTGGAGGTCTGTAGCTGAATTAGGCTTGAAATGGCGAAAGTTGGATTTTTTGGAAGTTTGACCGGGAGTGGACTTTTTTATATCGGGGTCGAATTCAGATTCCGGAAGTTGGAGTAGGTCCGTAATGTCAATTATGACTTGTGTGCAAAATTTAAGGTCAATCGAACTTGATTTGATAGGTTTCGGCATCGAATGTAGAAGTTGAAAATTCTTAAGTTCATTAAGCTTGAATTGGGGTATGATTCGTGGTTTTAGCCTTGTTTGAAGTGATTTGAGGTTCCTCGGGAGATCCCCGTACTGCATATTTACTTTTGGGACTACGAGGTGGTTCCTAGGGAGATTCTCATGTACTGTATATTTACTTTTGGGACTACGAGGCGGTTCCTCGGGAGATTCCCATGTACTGCATATTTACTTTTGGGACTACGAAGCGGTTCCTCGGGAGATCCTTTGTACTGCATATTTACTTTTGGGACTACAAGGCGGTTCCTCAGGAGATTCTTTTGTACTGTATATTTACTTTTGGGACTACGAGGCGGTTCCTCGGGAGCGCCCCCAGTTATTTACCTCTATTTGTTGTGTTGTTCACTCCTCAGTCATCTCATTATATTATTATATCCTCTGTCTTATTTTTCTATTATTTTCAGTAGGGCCTGACCTAACCTCGTTACTACTCTACCGAGGTTAGGCTTGGCACTTACTGGGTACCGTTGTGGTGTACTCGTGCTACTCTTTTGTACATCTTTTTGCGCAAATTCAGGTACCGCTTACCAGCCCAGATATCAGTGAGCTACTGTATACGGAGACTTCAAGGTACATCTGCCAGCATCCGCAGACCTTGGAGTCCCCCTCTATCCTTATCATGTTGTTTCCTTATTTTGGTTGACTCTAATGTATAGAGACACTTAGTATTCCTCTTAGAAGCTTGTGACTTATTTCTACCGAGTTTTTGGGAGTTAAAATTATTGAATTGCAGTTTATGTTTATTTCATATGTTGAGAATTGGGCTTCAGTTTTATTTTATGTATGTCCGCAAATTATTAGGTTTACCTAGTCTTAGAGGCCAGGTGCTATCACGACAACTTACGGAGGGTGAAATTTGGGGTCGTGATAAGTTAGTATCAGAGCTCTAGGTTCATAGGTGTTATGAGTCACAAGCAGGTTTAGTAAAGTCTCGCGGATCAGTACGGATACATCTGTATTTATCTTCGGGATGCTATGGAACTGTTAGGAAAATGTTCACTTCTTTGATTCCTTATCGTGCGCATTTGTTGACTTCGAAATTCTAAACTCTTGTCTTTATATTCTCTCATAGATTGTGAGGACACGCACAACTGGATCCGATGATCAAATACCCATGCCCCTTGTTGAAGCCGCAAGAGGCTGGGGTCGGGGCAGAGGCCTAAGAAGACCACGTGGTGCAGCCAGAGCACCTACACGAGCTGTTGCAGAGGAACCACCAATAGCTCCAGTTAGAGAGCAGGCACCTGAGACGCCTGTTACTACCCCTGTACTTCAGGAAACTCTTGCCCAGATTTTGAGCATGTTTGGCACTCTAGCTGAGGCGGGGTTGATTCCACTTGCTCCTGTCACATCTCAGGCTGGGGGAGGAGCACAGACTCCCGCCGCCCGTACCCCAGAGCCATGGGCCCAAGTTGACCATGCCTAGAGATTATACCAGTGCAGCTAGTTGTCCCAGTTTGGCCCTAGGTTAGGGCAGCAGTTTCAGACGGGGGCAGCTCAAACTCGAGAGGTACAAGAAGTACCACCCTCCCACATTCAGCGGTTTGGCTTTAGAGGATGCTGCAGGATTTTCTTGAGGAATGTCACTGTATTCTCCGTACTATGGGTATTGTGGATTCTAGTGGGGTTTCTTTCACGGCATTCCAGCTTAGAGGAGCGGCCTACCAGTGGTGGCGAGCATACGAGTTAGATAGTCCGGCTGAAGCAGCTTCACTCACTTGGACTCAGTTTTTATATATGTTCTTGAGGGAGTATGTTCCTTGGAGTCTCAAAGATGCGTGGCGCGCGGAGTTTAAGCAGTTGCGCCGGGGTTTTATGACCGTGTCAGAGTATGCGGTCTGATTCAGTGATTTGACTAGGCATGCACCAGCCTTGGATGCTACTGTTTGAGAGCGGGTTCGTCGATTTATTGAGGGGCTCCACCTTAGTATCAGATTCAGCATGGCCCGAGAACTGGAGATGGACATCGCATACCAGCAGGTGGTGTCAATTGCTAGGAGATTGGAGGGTATGCGGATCCGGGAGAGAGAAGAGAGGGAAGCTAAGAGGCCTCGGGATTCTAGCATATATAACAGTTTTCGTCCCCTAGCTGCAGCATGTCATGGTATAGGCTATGTGAGTCGTCCTGTTCATTCATCACTTCCAGTCGCCAGCGGTACTCCGGCCATTCCTAGGCCCCATGATCCCTATTATGCATCGCCAATGTCTAGTGTACCTCATGTACGGGGTGCTTCCAGTGGTCAGTCAAGTCGATCAGGCCCGAGCCAGTCACAGCAGCCACGTCCTCCGAGAACTTATTTTGAGTGTGGTGACACTTGTCATATGGTTAGGGATTGCCCCAGATTCAGGAAGGGTGCACCTCCACAGATTTCGCAGGCCCCACCTATTCCACAGGGCCCTTAGGCTTCTCAAGCCATGATTACTGCACCAGCTGCCACTCCACATGCACAGCCAGCTAGAGGCGGAGGTCGGACAGGTAGAGGTCGCCCTAGAGGGGGAGGCCAGGCCAGATATTATGCCCTTCCTACTAGGACGGAGGCAGTTGCATCCGATTCTGTTATCACGGGTATTGTTCCGGGCTGTCATAGAGATGCATCAGTCTTATTTGATCCAGGCTCCACTTATTCTTATGTGTCATCTTATTTTGCCCCGTATTTGGGCGTATCCCATGATTCTTTGAGTTCTTCTATTTATGTATCTACACCCGTGGATGATTCTATTATTGTTGACCGCGTGTATCGGTCGTGTTTGATTGTTATTAATGGTTTTGAGACCAGAGCTGATTTATTATTGCTCAGTATGATGGATTTCGATATTATTTTGGGCATGGATTGGTTGTCACTCTATCACGCTATCCTTGATTGTTACGCCAAGACGGTGACGTTGGCTATGCCAGGTCTACTGCGGCTAGATTGGAGAGGTGCCTTGGATTATGTTCCTAGCACGGTTGTTTCATTTCTTAAGGCTCAACGAATGGTTGAGAAGAGTCCTGTGTGAGAGATGTTAGCGTTGATACTTCTACCGTGGAGTCAGTTCTACACTAACATCTCTCACTACCACTGTTTTAAGAGATGGAGGATGTAACGACCCGACCGGTCATTTTGAGAGTATTAGCCCCGATCCCCTATTTACTGCCTCTCTTGTATCATTTTATGCTTATGTGACTTGCCGGGGGATTTGTTTTTGATTTTGGAGTGAAATGGGACACTTAGTCCCTAAAACGAAAGCCTAAGTTCTAGGAATTTTGACCGTAGTTGGAACTGTGTGAAGACGACTCCGAAATGGGGTTTCGTCGGTTTCGTTAGCTCCGTTGGGTGATTTTGGACTTAGGAGCGTATCTGGATTGTCAATTAGAGGTCTGTAGCTGAATTAGGCTTGAAATGGCGAAAGTTGGATTTTTGAGAAGATTGACCCGGAGTGAACTTTTTTATATCGGGGTCGAATTCAGATTCCGAAAGTTGGAGTAGGTCTGTAATATCAATTATGACTTGTGTATAAAATTTGAGGTCAATCGGACTTGATTTGATAGGTTTCGGCATCGAATGTAGAAGTTGAAAATTTTTAAGTTCATTAAGCTTGAAT